TGGTCGTATATGGGTCAAAATAACATTGTATGACCTCAGGATGCATCCCGTAGAATTCCCTGAAATTTTGACACCGGGTCCCGACACCTCCTTAATTGCTCCAATTTAGAATTTAGATTGAATAGCACGTACTGGAAGAAGTAACAGTACTATACTAAGCGACTCTTGTTGACTACTCCCTCCATTTTTTTTAATTAAGCGTTCTAGTTTGACTTTTTGCACTGTTTGTAAACTCCGCTTTGACACAAGGTGATGATTTCAGACAATTTCTGCACTATTTTTTCACTTTTTTGGACCTGGAAAAATAATTTGCTGAGATGCTTCCCATGGACCCTAAAACATCCTAGAAGTCCATTTGGGTGGGTAAAACCGTCCAATATGCCTTTAATTTGTCAATTTACCCGTTTACAATTTGCATCGATTTCACAAACTCAAGCCTACCACGGACATTTATGACAGTATATAATGATCGTATATGGTTCCAAATGACATTATATTACCCTTGGATGCATCCCCTAATATCTCTAGACTTTCCAACACCAGGTCCGAAATTGCCCAAAAAGCGTGAATTATAGCCTTTATTTTTCCAAATTTTCAACTTTTTTTGACCTCGAAACAAAAATTTCCCAGAAGTTTCCTATAGTCCCTAATACCTCCCGGGAGTCCAATTGGGTGGGTGGAACTATCCAATTTGCCTTAAAGTATCAGATTTACCCGTTTTCATACACGCCTCTTGTATAGGCTATAAGCTTTCAAGAGGCCTTTATGTAGCCGACTAATGGTCGTATATGGGTCAAAATAACATTGTATGACCTCGGGATGCATCCCGTAGAATTCCTTGAAATTCTGACACAGGGTCCCGACACCTCCTTAATTGCTCCAATTTCGTGTGTTATAGGCTTCAAATTTGGCTTCCATTAAACATTTTTTCACGTGGTGAGGTTATGTATCTAGGTGCTTCCATGGGTTCCCAAAGGGCCTTTGGAGTCATGAATAGTGCCCGGAACCATCTTATTCATCCTTGATCATCATGTCTTAAGGCAAAGACGACATACCTTCAAATGACAAAACTATTTTTTTGTATGCCTTGTCCTAGGTTCACATGTCTTGTGCACTTGTCACAAGCCCCCTTGCACTATCCAACAGCCCAACACTTAGACTTTGTGACTTGTCTTCATCCCGTTCTTAGCATTTATAAGCATATAAGATGCACTGGTAACCTCATTTTCCAAAATATAGGTGTTTTTAAGGAATAGAGTGGTGGGAGGGACGAATCCAAGCGCCATAGGGTTGAATCTCAGTGTATCGTGGCAGTAAGGCTACTTTGCCTTCAATTTGGCATAAGAAATAAATAGTCGTGTAGGGTCTTATCAGAATTGTCTCACTATATAGTTTTTAAATTTCAAGTTTTTCGTAATTCATACTTGTTGATAATTAAATCTATTATTGGTTGATGTTTCATATTGCCATATGTATCCAAAAATCGGGGCACTTGAAAAAAAAATTCGCAAATGAATGTAGGTTTTGGGAGCTATAATGTGTACATATGTTAATGTATCACTTGTTTAAAGTGTCGATGCTACCTAGGTTTTGTGGCTATCTTTTACCTTATTTGGGGCTTGACTTGATAGCTTTTCTACTAAATTTTGAACTAAATTTTCTTCCCGTTGGTAGGAAATCATTCCAACCATTGCCCCGTAGCCTCCATAAGGTTTTTCTAGCTAATTTTTATCACTTCTCCATATACCTTGTGCTATAATAACATCCTCAATTAAAATTGTCTTGAAAACCAAGGTTTAACAGTCTTGTAACTAGAGATGTCAATGGGGTGAGACCTGACGTCCATCCGCCGAGGTAAGTGGAGATGGGATAGAAAATGTACCCGCTATGGGTCGCGAGGCGGGTTGGGATCTAGGATGTACCCGCCCTGCTCCATTCTTTCCCACTCCGAATTCTACTAGTTTTAAATTTATTATTATTTCATGTTAAAAACAATACTTTTCAAAATTATTATGGATTAAAAACAAGTATATAACTTTGGTCATTGAATTATATTAAGCTATTATGTTTTTAGGTTTAGTAAATGTTTGTGTTGAAATTAGAACTTATTTGACATGCAAGGTGAACATAAGAGCATATAAAATAGGTGTTGAAGTGGGTAATGTCTAATGTGGGTATTAGAAAAGGAAGGATACCAATTGGGTAATGGGGCGGGTATGGATTTAGTTTTGCACTTAGCGAGGTGGAGATGGGGATGAAAATTTAAGGTGGGGATGGGAAGAGTAACATTAGCATCTGACCGAGTGACCTCCCTGTTGAAATGACATCCTTACGTTGTCACCTTCTCAAGATAGATTTCTGTTCTCCATGATAAGTAGATTATATTTTTCTTTTTTCACCTCCCTAACTGGTGATATTGTAAAATATAATAGAGCTTTTCACTTGCTGGATGAAATCTGGATTTGAGCCTCCTTTGCGATCTTCTTCCCTCCACCCCTCCTTTAGTACTTCGTATATCCTAAGAGTAAAGAAAGTGTGTATTTCAAAGTTTATATTGTCGTAATTACTATGCCACATTGTTGGTCAAATTTTGTAGATTACATTGGTTATGATTCTTATGAAGCTCCTCCATTAAGCTGTACCTGCAGTTTGAAAGAATTCTGGAATTTAAAATGTGTGTTATGTTTTGGGTTTTGTATAATGTCTTCTGAGCTCACCTTGATTTAACTTTAGTCTACAATCTTTATCTGGGTTTTGCCTCGCAGATTCAAAAGGAGCTAAAACTAATAAAAGCAAAAAGAAAAATCGTCGGAAGAAAACACACTCTAAAGTGTCCTCAAACAGTGAAAATGGAGACCACAAGGTTACTGACCTCCCTTTTCTTCTACTCATTTCTATCTGTCCTACACTCTTAACAACGTATACTTGTTTGCTTGTGATAATCAGGTGGCTAATGGTATATCCCATATCAATGAAAATGGCAAAGCTAATGATGGAATGGTGTTGGATTCTGGTCCTAGTTCGGTGGATCCTTTGAGCTCTTTTTCACCTAAGCTTGAATTTGATGAGGCTGATATTGATGATGAGCTGGATCCAGCAATGAAGGAAGAACTTGACAGGTTTGTGGGAACTTTTGGCATGCATCCATGACCAACCTTTTTACTTAAATGCTACACTCATTTTGCTATACAAAATATCAGAATATGATTCTATTGACCTAAGTAAATAGAAGTTTTAGGGTAAAACTAAAATATTTTTTCTTAAAAAAATTGTTAAGGGGTTTTGCTGGGAACATCCTATTACCTGGGAAATTATCCAGTATTATTCAACCACAAATAAATTCTTCCAGCAACATTTTATTACATGCAATTATGCAAATTCTTCCATCAATAATTCTACCATTGATTCAAATGGTCAAACAAGATGATAGGATTCCCTGATTGGCCTCAGAAGGAACATCCAGCCATCAAAATTTCTATGATTTTTTTTTAAAAAAATTGTTTAAGTAGTATGATTTTCTGAACGCTAGAAAGAACTATAACATTTTTTAAAACATGATAGAAAGAAACATGTTTCCGATGATATATATTTCTTTTCTAAGAAAAAACAACAAACATTAACATTATGACATACAACTTTACAAGTTACAATTGAAGTTCTGCAGATAAGTTGGGTCCTGTTTTCTTCAAGTTTTATTGACGAGCCTAGATAAATTAGCAGCAGTAGGGTACGATCAGATGAATTCAGGAGAAAGAATAGGATCTTGAACCGGAAAAGGAAATTAAGCTGCTGGGGCATCCCACTGTTTTTTCAAATTTTAGATGTGCAGATGAGCATTGCACCAACAGAATAATCTGCATCAAATGCTACTCAAACATTTGTTTCATGTAGAAGTATTCATTCATGATAGTTTACTTTTCAAACACAATGACCTGATCTTATTTCTTGTGTACGCTTTTACTATAGGGAGGTAGAGGACTTTGCTCGGAGATTAAATTCAGATTGGCCTGAAAGAATGCAAGAGATTCTTTCTTTGGGCCAAGGAAAACGACTTACCCCCATATCTGCAAGTGGCAATGGCTCTACACAAAGATATACAGGTTAGCCGTTGTAGTGTTTTTGAGGGATATGATTGTGTCTTGACATGTCCTTTCTGGGCTTCTGGCTGAAACAGTTCATCTATGTGACCAGGTTTACAACAAAGATAATAATGACATGAGGGAGGCTGAGCTCCCTCTCTGTGGGTTAGCTGTTCGTCCTAAGCGTGTGCATATATTTATATCTTGCACGCTGTATTTGCCATGCTTAAGCGATGGAAAATGGGCGATTAGGCTATTAGTTGCAAAAGTTTGTATATTGTTGAGGTTGGGAAATAACTTGGTTATGAACATTTGTATACCTTCAGTTACACCATAGGCTCATAGATTTGTTGTTTGCACATTTTTCCCCTGGATTTTAAGTGTCCTTTCTATTTATTTTTTATTTTTTTATACAAGTTCGTGAGTTTCTTGTTGAATGCAATGCTTTCTGTATCCGTTCGAACTAGCAAATGTTTTAACACACACCAGAAAATCGACTGTAAATCTATCTTTCCATTTTTAGATTTTTATTTGTACCATTGTCTTTACATATATCCGGAAAAAAATTAGCCATCTTGTCGAACAGATCGATCATGAGTTATACTACGTAGTATTTAGCTATAAATTTGTCAATAAAGTATCTTTAATATGCACCTCAATGGATAATTTCATTCCAAGTTTATTATATTTTGGAATGAGTGAGATCAAAATATGAGTAACTAAAATTTGCATAAAACTACACATACAAATTAGCAGTCTAATTTCTCCATTATGCCAATATGATTCTGCTACTTGTAGTATGATACAAATTATCAGCTTGCAAAAAACTATACAACACATTACATATACCACACCGGAAGGGCTAATCACAAAACCCGCCAAATTTCGAGTCAAGTCGAGTCAGTTTTTGATATCTCTCACTCACTCCTCCTTGGAAGTAGTAGTTGAACCATTACCAGAGTAATATTTCTTAAATGATCTTGGAAGATAAACAGGCAACAAAAACCCAAACAAATTATAAGACCACAATGTAACATTAGCAATAGCAAGAGCTCTTCCAACCCACAACCTAGCATAAGACCCACCATTCCAACCTTCACCACCCTTCATAATCTCCTCCATAAGCCACTTTTTCAGAGTGATCAACCTACACGAATTGAAAAATACGGGTATAAAAACCCGAATAGGCAACGAAAACCGATCCGAAACCGAAACACCTTCCATAAACACCTGACTTGCTAGTAAAAAGACATGAGGAACAGCTGCTTTGATCCCTTCTTTATCACCCTCTAATATACCATGTGAAATGTACAATATGGGTAAAAACAACCCGATAACCGCGGCAAAGAGGATGTATAACCCAAGAATCTTGCTATTCGGGTCAAAAACGGGTTTTTGTTGGGTGGTAAATATTTGAGTAGGGAAGGCAAATTTGGAGAGAAAGAACATGTAAATAGCAGAGAAAATAAAAACACCAAAATCTTCAAGACTAACCATACCACTAGCAGCTAATACAATCATTATGACTAAACAGTTTAACTGGCGTAAAGTTAAGAAGAAAATTTTGCCAGTTTTTTTGGGGTTTTTTGATGTTAAATTTGGGGGTGTTTCAAGGGTTTGTTCTTGTTTTGGGAAGGTTATATCACAGGTTGGACCAACTCCACCTGACATTGTTAAGATTAAGAAAAAGATGTGAAATTTTGAGAGGTTTTTTTGGGATGAAGAAATGATAAAGATTAGAGTTTTCTGGGTTGTAAAAGGATGAGAGTAAGAGGGAAGACAAGTGGCGAGGAAAGAGGATTGTTGTGTGGATAGAACACAAGACGTGGTATACAAAGAGGAATTCATGTTGTCTTATTGACATACAAGTATTTATTAGTTGTTAATATTGGTAATTTGGGATCTTAAAAGTGGCTACTTTGGTAGGAACACGGTTGTGTGTGGCCCGAGTTTGTAATAAGTTGTGACAAGAGTTGTAAACACGTACGAGTAGCGAGGTTAACATTAGTAATTGAAACTTAACCCTGTAAATTTCGTACAGTTAAAAAGAGTAGACACATATGTGAACAACAAATTGATCGAGGTTGTCCAGTATGTAGAGCTGTCAATTCGGGTAAACAGGTCGGGTCAATTCGGATTAATTTTATAACCTATGCGGGTCAGGTTCAACTAAATATAAATGGATAATTATCATTTTTATCAAGCTAATTATTTCCTTTGATTATAATATATATGACAATATACTAGGGAACTACAATCTACTCCCTCCGTTTCAATATGATAGTCCCATATGGAATCAATCACATAAAATAAGAAAAATATTTGGAATCTAACATTAAATTAAAAAATAATTCATAAATAGTTTTGCCTTATTTAATTTTTTTTAGGAAAGTTTTAGTCATATTTGCATAAATCAAGGGAGTAATTTCTTTACTTAGAGTCATGTCATTAATTCACAATCAATTAATCTAACCAATCAGAATTTAATATGAATAAAATAGGAAATAAAAACTAAGTTAAAAGTGGAATACATTCAATATGGGTATATCTTTTTGAAACATCCAAAATAGTATATGGGACTAACAAATTGAAACGGAGGGAGTATAATTTAAGAAGATAATTATCTCCTTTGACCATACAACAAATATATACTATATTTAACTCTTAAATTTGAGGATAATGCTCCTTTCTTTTGCTGGCCTGGACCGACTTGGTCTCCCTAGACAAAGTGCTTTGATAAACAATAATAAGGTGATCTAAATTGTATTTAAGGTGATTTGAAATCGGGTTAGGAATAATTTAGGTTTAATTTAGGTCGGGTCAATAACAAGTCGTGTTAATTTCGAGTCAGGTTAGTAACAAATTGGGTTAAATTTTTGGGTGGGGTAAGTAATAGGTCTGGTAAAATTCGGGTTGGGTCAATAACAAGTCGGGTTGAATTTGGGTCACGTCAATAACAAATAAGGTTAATAACAGCAGATCGGATGGTTCTACACACCCAGTTGGACTACCGCAGGGTATTAAAGACCATGGTAAAACATTTTGGCAATTTTTATTTCCGAGCAAAAAAAAGTCAAAAATATTCCAAAATTGCAGGATTTTTGAGAAATTTTGGAAGTTTTGTAGGCTTGATTTAATGAAATCCACGTTTTTTTGAAAAATTTTAGAGGTTTCGGGGACTAGTGTAGAAAAGTCTTGATATTTTAGGGAATACATCTCGGGGTCATATAATGCCGTTTAGAACCATACATGATCATTATATGTTGTCATAAATGTTCGTAGTATGCTTGAGTTAATGAAATTTGTGCAAGTTTTAAATCAATAAATTGGTCGTTTAAAAGCAAATTGGATGGTTCAACCAACCCAATTGGACTACCGGAGGATATTAGTGACCATGGTAAACATTTTGGCAATTTTTATTTCCGGGTGAAAAAAGTCAAAAATATTCCAAAATTGAAGCCCATATATGATTTAAAGGGGAAATCCACTTATTTGAGAAATTTTGTAGATTTCTGGGCCCGGTGTCGAAAAGTCTTAAAATTTTAGGGGATACATCTCGGGGTCATATAATTCCATTTTGAACCATATATGATCATTATTTGTTGTCATAAATGTTCGTGGTAGACTTGAGTTAATCAAATCGGTGCAAGTTGTAAACCGGTAAATTGGTCGTTTAAAGGCAAATCGGATGGTTCCACCCACCCAATGAGACTCCCAGACGGGGTTAGGAATCATGGTAAACATTTCGGCAATTTTCGGGCGAAAAAAGTCAATAATTACAAAATTGAAGGCTAATATCCACGCTTTTTGAGAAATTTTGGAGGATTCGAGACCCGGTGTCAAAAAGTCTTGAAATTCTAGGGGGTACATTTCGGGGGCATATAATGCCGTTTGGAGCCATTTATGATCATTATATGTTGTCATAAATGTTCGTGATAGGCTTTATTTAATGAAATCGGTGCAAGTTGTAAACCGATAAATTGGTCGTTTAAAGGCAAATTGGATAGTTCAACCCACCCAATTGGACTCCCGGAGGATATTAGGGAATATGGTAAAAATTTCGGCAATTTTTGTTTCCAGCCGAAAAAAAGTCAAAAATTTTAAAAATTAAAGGCTTATATTCACGTTTTTTGATAAATTTTGGAGGTTTCGGGGCACGGTGTCGAAAAGCCTTGAGATTTTAGGGTATAAATCTCGGGGTCATATAATAACGTTTGCAACCATATATGATCATTGTATGTTGTCATTAATTTTCATGGAAGACTTGATTTAATGAAATCGCTGCAAATTATAAACCGATGAATAGGTCGTTTAAAGACCAATCAGATGGTTGCACCCACCGCATTTGACTCCCGAAGGATATTAAGGACCATGATAAACATTTCGGCAATTATTATTTCTGGCGAAAAAAGTCTAAAAATACCAAAAATAAAGGCTAATATCCACGTTTTTTTTAGAAATTTAGGAGGTTTCGAGGCCCAGTATCAAAAAGCCTTGAGATTCTAGAGAATACATCTCAGGGTCATATAATGTCGTTTGGAACTATATATGATCATTATTTGTTGTCATAAATGTTCGTGGTAGGCGTGAGTTAATGAAATCGGTGCAAGTTGTAAATCGGTAATAAATTGGCCGTTTAAAGGCATTGGATGATTCCACCCACCCAATTGGACTATCGGAGGGTATTAAGGACTATGGTAAAAATTCCGGCAATTTTTATTTTCAGGCGAAAAAAAGTCAAAATTTTCCAAAATTGAAGGTTAATGTTCACATTTTTAGAGAAATTTTAGAGATTTCGCGGCCCAGTGTCGAAAAGTCTTGAGATTTTAGGGATTACATATGGGGTCATATAATGCCATTTGGAACCATATATGATCATTATATGTTGTCATATATGTTCGTGGTAGGCTTGAATTAATGAAATCGGTGCAATTTGTATACCGGTAAATTGGTTGTTTAAAGGCAAATTGGATGGTTCCACCCACCCAATTGGACTCTCGGAGGGAATTATTGACCATGGTAAACATTTCGGGAATTTTTGTTTTCAAGCGAAAAAAGTCAAAAAAATTCAAAACTTGAAGGCTAAGATCCACTATTTTGAGAAATTTTGCAGGTTTCGAGGTCCGGTGTCGAAAAACCTTTAAATTTTAGGGGATACATCTCGGCGTCATATAATGCCATTTGGAACCATTTATTGTCAGTATATGTTGTTATAAATGTTCTTGGTAGGCTTGATTTAATGAAATCGGTGCATGTTGTAAACCGGTAAATTGGTCGTTTAAAGGCAAATTAGATATTTCAACCCATCCAATTGAACTCCTGGAGGGTATTAGGAACCATTGTAAAAATTTTGGCAATTTTTATTTTCGGGTGAAAAAAAGTCAAAAAAATTCAAAAATTGAAGGCTTATATCCATGCTTTTTGAGAAATTTTGGAGGTTTCGGGTCACGGTTTCGAAAAGTCTTGAAATTTTAGGGAATACATCTCGGGGTCATATAATGACGTTTGGAAGCATATATGATCATTATATGATGCGATAAATGTTCGTGGTAGGTTTGATTTAATGAAATCGTTGCAAGTTGTAAATTGGTAAATTGGTCGTTTAAAGGAAAATTGGATGGTTCCACCCACCCAATTGGACTCTCGAAGGGTATTAGTGACCATGGTAAACATTTCGTCAATTTTTATTTTCGGGCGAGAAAAAGTCAAAAAATTTCAAAATTGAAGGCTAATATCCACGCTTTTTCAGCAATTTTGGAGATTTCAAGACCCGGTGTCGAAAAGTCTCGAAAATTTAAGAGATACATCTCGAGGTCATATAATACCATTTGGAATCATATATAATCCTTATATGTTGTCATAAATGTTCGTGGTAGGCCTGGTTAATGAAATCGGTGTAAGATGTATACCAATAAATTAGCCGTTTACAGGCAAATTGGATGTTTCCATCCACCCAATAGGACTCCCGGTGGGTATTAAGGACTATGGTAAACAATTCGACAATTTTTATTTCCGGGCGAAAATAAGTCAAAAAATTCCAAAATTAAAGGCAATATCCACACTTTTTGAGAAATTTTTGAGGTTTCGGGGCCCGATGTCGAAAAGTCTTAAAATTCTAGGGGATATATCTCGGGGTCATATAATGCCGTTGGATCAATATATGTTCATGATTTGTTGTCGTAAATGTTCGTGGCAGGTTGTAAATCGGTAAATTGGTTGTTTAAAGAAAATTGTATGGTTCCACCCACCCAATTGGACTCTCGGAGGGTATTAGGGACCATGGTAAAAGTTTCGTCAATTTTTATTTTCAGGTGAATAAAATTCAAAAATTGAAGTCTAATATCCACGCTTTTTGAGAAATTTTGGAGGTTTCGGGGTCCGTTGACGAAAAGACCTGAGATTTTAGGGGACACATCTCGGGGTCATATATTTCCGTTTGGAACCTTATATAATCATTATATGTTGTCATAAATGTTTGTGGTATGCTTGAATTAATGAAATCGGTGTAAGTTGTAAATCGG